TCGGCTAGATCTCGTGCCGGTTGACCCCCGCCAGCGTGACCGGCCGCCCGTTGACGAGCAGCCGGCCCGCCCGCACCTCGACGGTGCGCAAGCCTACGCCAGCAAGACGCCGAGGTCAGGGTGCGGACACGGCAGCGCCGCGTGAACACGAGACAGCTACGAGTGCAGTGACGACCGCCACAGAGGGCTGTCGAACCACGCGTCCTCTCGAATGCTAGTCGGAACGTGCAGAGGTCCGTGTTCCGCGTCTAGGCATCGCTCGCCAACCCGCTGCGCGAGCACCTCCACCACGGACCCGGCCGCGTCGCGCAGCGTCAGCAGCAGAGTGTACAGCGACGGCGTCTCGGCGCTCCACGGGAGAGCCTGCCCCGCCGGCACCCGCAGCGCCGCGTGCACCAAAGCGCCGACCTTGCCGCCCGCCCGGCACAGCGGCGCGCTCACCCTCGCGGCGGCGACGGGCGGCGCGGCGAGGTCTGTGCCCTGGTGCGCCGGGTGCAGCTCCGGCTGCGCGCGCCTGTGGACACGTCTCGGACGCGTCACGGACGTGCCCTGGAGATGGCCGGGGCGTAGCTCCGGCTGCGCGCCGCCGCGGCAGCAGCTCCAGCTCGACGCTCGCCGCCGGCAGTGTTTCTTCTTCTGCCCAGCTCGCCGCCGCGCCGCCGCAGCCCGCGCCGCCGCCGCCCTCTGCGCCCGCGGCGGCGGCCGAGGCTGGCGGCGGCGCGCGCAGCAGCTCCAGCTCCACCTCGACTAGGCCTGCGCCAAAGCCGTCGCCGACGGCGTCGATGCGTGTGCGGACAGCGAAGTCGCGCACGTGCAGCGACGGCCGCGAGTAGAGGTAGACGTCGCGCGTGATGCCGGCGAGCCACCACATGTCTTGGTCCTCGAGGTATGCACCGTCGCACCTAGCCGTCCCATCACCTCGGAAGTGTCTCGGAGGTGTCTCGGAGGTGTCTCGGAGGTGTCTCGGAGGTGTCTCGGAGGTGTCTCGGAGGTGTCGCGCACCAGCAGAGGACAAATAGGGCGATGAGGCAGCTCTCGCCGCGCGAGACGTGGCGCGTGATGTCGAACTCGACGGGCAGCTTCGAGTCCTGCGAGTAGCCCACCTCCGCCCCGTTGACCCAGACGTA